GCTGAAAATAGGAAAAGTTTTCTTTGATGTTGATGGTTAAAATATAGTAGGTAACCAACGTGTAGAAATGAAACTCAAAGACAATGAGTGATTCTTTTTGTGAATAACAAAGAGGACAAAATAGAGAACTATTAAATCTAACTTCAATTCTATGCCCCTCTTGTGTTTCAATCTTGACACATATTCTCCACTTCTTGGTTCACAAAATGCGACCAAAACATTTTTCCTCTATGCTCTCTTCACCTTTGTGATTTTCTAAGTCACACTCCCACTCTCTCTCTCTCTCTCTCTCTCTCTCTCTCCCTCTCTATATAAACTCACAATTCCTCTTCTCTCTTTCTCTATAGCTTGTCACATTCTCAAATCAACAATTCCTTTATCTTTCTTTATCTTCACTTCTTCATCATCCTCTCATCTAATGGTAATAACTGAGGTAAGTGTCTGTTCTTTCTTTTTCTTTTATTCATTTGTGCTATCACCATGATTTGGACTATTTGTTTGCCTTATCTTGTTATGAACCTTCATTCATGTATAAATTGAGACCTTTACATAATATGAGAAACTGTAACACTAACCCCTCTGAAAAAGACGTGTCTGTGTACGTGTAAGTGATAGTACTGAGAATGAATTTTCGAATGCAGGAGAGAAACATGTTTAGTTCTGAAGGAGAAATTAAAATAAGTTTCGGTTATAAATGCAATAATGATAGAGGTATTTCTAGCGAGATCGTTAATGGGTACAAAAATCTACCCGAAATCCGTAGAACAAGTAGTTTCTCTTGTTTATCTGGTGCAGCCTTAAGTGCAAATGCTACACTAGCCAACACAAACATCTGCAATGGTAAGATAGGGGGAGAGATCCTTCCGAGTTGGGACTCTCCTAATTCGTTTCGAAGAGTACCTTCTTCGCCAAGTCTTTCACGGTTCGACAGACTATCGTCTTCCCTTCCAAATAGTCTCTCTTACCTCAGTTGCAGCCCATCAACTGCTAGTGACGGCCTTGAATACGACTGTTGCACGTCGAAATCTGCGAGCGATCGTTCCAGTAGCGACGGATTTCTTATTGCCACAGAAGTTCAAGTAGCAGGAGGAGCTGCAGGCGAAGATAGAGTCCAAGCTGTGTGTTCTGAAGAAAATGGATGGCTCTTTTGTGCCATTTACGACGGGTTTAATGGAAGAGATGCTGCTGATTTTTTAGCAGGTACACTTTACGACACCATCATATCGTATCTGGATAAGTTAATTTGGGAATTGGAGCCAGGTTCCATCACAGCTTCCAATCACGCGGATTTGGGAGAACTCTTTCGATATAAGTTGGATGATAGTGTTCGTTGTCACGAGGATTGTTCTCAGTCAAGAACATCACGCGAGTCTTTTTCGTCACACGAGTCTTTTTCGCGTGGTGTACTTGATAGCCTCGAACATGCTCTCAGTCAGGCTGAGAATGATTTCCTATACATGGTTGAGCAGGAAATGGTGGAACGTCCGGATTTAGTTTCGATTGGATCTTGTGTTCTGCTTTTGCTTCTTCACGGTAATGATTTGTATACATTGAATCTCGGCGACAGTAGAGCAGTATTGGCAACATACAGTAACGATGACAGAGCAAATAAGAGTGAAAGACTCAAGGCTATACAACTTACAGATAATCACACTGTCGATAACGAAGCTGAAAGAGCTAGACTCATGGCCGAACATCCCGATGATCCTAAGGTCGTCATAGCAGGAAAAGTGAAAGGTAAATTGAAGGTTACTCGCGCATTCGGAGTTGGCTACTTAAAAAAGGTTTGCATTTTCTTTTACATTTTTCAGTGTCTTAAGATATTTTCATAAACTCTTTCAAAAACTTCGACCCGTGTTTATTATCATTCCCTTGCAGAAAAATCTGAATGATGCTTTGATGGGAATCCTAAGAGTTCGCGACCTTACGAGTCCACCATATGTTTCTACTCAACCATCACTGAATGTCCATAAAATCTCGAATTCCGATCAATTTGTTATAGTAGGGAGTGATGGTTTATTCGACTTCTTCAGCAACGAAGAGGCAGTTAAGCTTGTAGAGTCTTGCATCTTAAGCAACCCTTTTGGTGATCCTGCAAAGTTTCTCATAGAGCAACTTGTAGCTAGAGCAGCTGATTCTGCAGGTCAGGTTTTCTTTAACTTACGCTAAATTTCAAGTTTGCGCGCACAAATATATATTGTTATGCACTGTATTGACGAGTAAAGCTCGTGCAGGTTTCAGCATGGAAGAGTTGATGAATGTTCCGGCCGGGAGGAGAAGAAAGTACCATGATGATGTTACTGTTATAGTGATCATGCTTGGCATGAATCAACGGACTTCAAAAGCTTCAACTTGCATCTAAGACGAACCAAGATATGACGCAGTTTTCAATCTCGACCGTTTATATGAGAAATGACAGTTTAAATTATACAATAACAAAATCTGTTTAAATCAATCTAGACCATTAATTTGAGATCAGAGTAAAATTCAAGAACTAGTAACACAGATACTGCACCAAATCCAAAGAAAACTTGTGTGTAAACTTGTATGTAACTAGCTTTTCAGTGAATGCTCTTTGGTTTGATAAATTTATGGTATTGAAAGTGTATATATATGCCATTTCACAAAAACCATTGGGTCATTTATATGTAAAATATATTTTCATATTTGTGCGAGTTTTTTATTTTATTTTTTATTTCATTAGTTATCTTAGTTTCGAATGAGAATGTATGATTTCTAGTGGTTATTTCCATTTCGTTTTTATATCAAAAACAAATTTTCTTTATCATTTCAAAGACATTGTCCTATTATGTGTGTGATTTCTAGTAATGTAATAGTGCTTGTTTGTTTCACCTTGCATCACCTTTTTATCTTCTCGGGCTTCAAGCTTGTGATAATGGACTACACTTCACACATGCTTCTTCCTTTAATACTTTTTTTCCACTTTATTTCATTGATGTTCACAATAGTTTAGGTCCACAAGCTGAACCACTCACATGGGGCTTAACAACTTAAAATGTAGAGGAGACATTAATTGTGGCCTCTCCCTTTCATTATAAAATTATGAATTTGTATATCAAGTAGCATTGATTCAAGTGCTAGCTGCTTTATTCAAAGCAAACAAATTGAGAGATGGTGTTTCCCTGCAGTCACTTATGCACGCATTTAGGCTTTAGCGATCGTTCGATCAAGATCAGAGAACTCAGATTTAAGTTAAATATTTTAAATTATAATTTTTTTTTATGTTAAACGGACAACAAGTTATGCAGCTACTTTTTTTGGATGACAAAATTAGTTTTCTTAAACAACACATTCATTATCCTAGATGATACAATATTGTTATGCACGAGTCTTTGCATTTTTTGTAAAAGATAAAAGTGTCAAAGACGAATAACATAAAAACATATTGATTGTTGAAACACGTGATCACTTTACTTGAAACATTAAATTTTAATAGAACTATCACAAAAGTTCCAAATGTGTGAATGTATGATTCAAGTGACTTAGGAGAAACCAATTGTGATTCATGATTAGAAAAAAAAATCAGGGTTAGATAACAAATGTCATGTATAGTTCCAAATTTGTACATTTGAACTAAATAATTTAACATTTTAAATACATATGATTCTATTTCCCTCTAAAATGCAAAATGCGAACCAGAAAAATGTTATTCCTACACTAAAATTATATATTTATATTGTATTTTATTGTTCATTTATACGGTAAATAGTAAACTATTATAATAATATATTTATTTAAAAATAAAAAATAAAAAAAATATTATTTTAATATTTTTTTATATTTTAAATTTTTAAATTAAAATGATATTGATAGTGTGATTAACCAACTTTATAACTTTATTAACCAGCCTTATATTTTATTAACTAATTTTGTTTGTTGCTAAAAATTATTTTTTATATCTGAACTTTACAACCAATTTTATAATTTCATTAACCAATCTTTTATATTGTATTAACCAATTTCATTGTTAAAAGTTATTTTTAATATCTGAGCGCTTATTAACCAACTTCGTAACTTTATTAATCAACTTTTAACATTTCATTAACCAGTTTATTTTTAATACCAGGACGTTTATTAACCAATTTTATCACTTCATTAACTAACTTTTTATATTTTATTAACCCATTTTATTTTAAAAACACTGTTCACGCATTATTCTTAAACTGCTCATATATTATAAATATTAATTTTTATTTATTCTCCCACTGTTCTTCATATAAATACAATAAATAGTATTTAGTGTAAGTATATGGCGTTGGAAAGAAATGTAGAAATAGCATAGCTGTGCGAACAAAGGATGAATTCTTATGGCATTAAATAGATACTACACCGAGGCTGCCAAATTTTGTTGTCATTAATAACTATTCACAATATACAAGTATTTTATTATGTGAATATATATATATATATATATATATATATATATATATATATATATATATATATATATATATATATATATATATATATATATATATATATATATATATATAATTTAATTAAATTCTTGAAAACGAGGTAGTCAGAAAACCAGTAAATATATATATGCCCGGAAAAGCAGCAATCAAATAAGGCACCGATCACGGCTCAATCAAAAGCTCTCACAATCATAGACTCATCAGTACTAGTAAATAAGTTCTTATTGCACAATTTGATATCTTTTCCTTCCATCACAATTTCTCCAAAATTGGTTCTCACGTCCAAATTAAGTAGATGGTTGTGAGTCTAAAGGTTGTGTAAACCTGTGAGTCCATGTGTTGTAAAAAAAAGCTAAAGTTGTGAGCACTTTGGTCCAAAATCAAAATAAGCTAAAGTTGTAAGCATTTTTGGCGTTGAAAAAAAACAACTTCTAAATGTAAAATCATCCCTACAAAACCAAAACCATAATGCTTAGCTAATTTCCCTCAATTACAAAATTACCATAACACAACAAAACTATCCTATAACAGAACAAACAAAAACCAGTTAAAAGTGCAACATTACATAATAGAACATCCATTTGCATTTTCATCACTAAAAAACTCAAATGGAATCAACGGTGCAGATTGAATCTGATAAGAGTCACGATCAAGGCCTGAACACATGTAGGGCAATGGCGGAACATAGTAAGAAGGACAATCCATTGTTCCCATGGGACATAATCTGTTGTATGTAGCATGTTGTTGTACCAAAGGAGGATAACACGTTTCTGGATACATCATGTACGGTTGCTGACGTGTAGGGCTGAGATTCACTTGGCCCACTACTTTACCTGGACACTGGATTTCTGATCCAGTGTGTGCTGGTGCACCATTAGATGCTGAACTCAACCCATTCTTTCTGGTTCTGGTTCTAGTTTCAGTTTCACCACTAAACTGAACTTTCTTTATCTTCTTCTTCCCAGAATCCCCTCCTCCCTTGTTGTCCTTTTCCGGTCCCTTGCCACTCGCCGAAGACTTTTCCGGCGACCCCTTAGTTTTTTTGTTACTACTGTTTTTTTCACCAGCATTTTCAACTTCTGAACTATGGTTGGATTCAGTACTATTTGCTAGAGAGTTGTTTTTCTTTTGTTCTTTGTCTCTTTGTTCACTCTTGTTACTGTTCTTAGCTTTGTCGGAATCTTTTCCTTTTGCAGGAGGATTCTCCGGCAAAACCTCAGCATGTTTTCCAGCTTTGGCCAGTTTCCTTATCAGAGTCTCAACAGCAACATTTCCGGTGACTGTTACTTTCTTCTGTTGCGGATCAATTGCTGTAGTAAACACTCCTGAATGCAAAACCAGAAAATATGAATAAAAAACACAATACTAACATAATGTCTGACACGAACACGTTGAATCTGTGGTGTCGGGTGCTACATTGTACACGCTAGAACACACAACCATACAGTTCTTTATGTTTTGGGTTTATAATAGTAAAATTTGAGCTCTGAATATTTTCATGCATGAGAAGTCGAAGAAATGAAGTACCATCAATGTTCTGTAAAACTTTCTTTACTTTTCTTCTACAACCTTCACAATGGATAGAAACTTTCAAGAACCATGTCTGGGAAACATGTAAGAGAAACAAACTTTAGCTTATAAAACTAAACAAAACAAAAAAGATTTAGACAGTAGAGTTGAGGGAAGATAGTTACCTGATACTTCAATGGTTGTGAAGTAGCATCCATTAGAGAGAACTCGTGTTAGAATGAGAGGGAATTAGAAAGTTTGAAATGAGAAATGAAAGTGAGAGAATGAGAATGAGAAAATGGGAAGATGAATGGCTATGAAAGTATAATGTGACAATGACAGAATAAGTAACACAGTGATGCTGCTTTCCTCTGCCCTCCGAAATCATTCACTCAATCTATTCTCCCATTTTTCACTTTTCTATTTTCATTTTACTCACTCAAATATTACTAATTTTTTTGTCTCTTGTAGATGTTCTAAGCTTATGTTTCTTTATGACAAACAAATTCATTAACAGTAACTTATTGTTATGAGGTTAAAATAAAGAAGCAAGGAACAGCATAGGACAAGTAAAAGAGCCAAAGTTGATAACATCTAAGCTACATCGCCGTTTAGCAGAACAAAAAGAGTGTCTTAAATATTTCTAGTTTGGAAGAAAACAACATCAATTTACCCAGTTTAGATTATTTACTGTCCTTTAAAGAAAAGACTAATCTACTTGGGCCTATGGATTTATTTATTTATTTATGAAAGGGAAATGACTGTGTAGGGCAATCTAGAGTGAAAATTTCTTATCGGTAATTGATTTCAGCTATGTTGCTACGAGATGACCGAGTTCAACAGTGCCTTGAAAGTTGTTGTTTAAAATATGAGAATATATAATTCAGTGATTGTGAATTTAAGTTTGCTCAACCTACTTAGAAGGCAAACTAAGCAGTACTGGATCAGTAACAATCATTAAATGAGGAAAGAACTTAGGTAATGAGTCATGACTCCCTTGAGCAACTTGTTTAAATGAATTAGCAGTACTCTATATCCAATCTCCATGGGTTATTAATGACATCTAGAACTAGCCCGACCTAGACGTCATTCACAAGGCAACAAGTCATAACATATATATATATATATATATATATATATATATATATATATATATATATATATATATATATATATATATATATATATATATATATATATATATATATATATATATATATATATATATATATATATATATATATATATATATATATATATATATATATATATATATATATATATATATATATATATATATATATATATATATATATATATATATATATATATATATATATATATATATATATATATATATATATATATATATATATATATATATATATATATATATATATATATATATATATATATATATATATATATATATATATATATATATATATATATATATATATATATATATATATATATGGGCATATTAATTGATAGAGATTTTAAAATGAAAGATAAGAGAAACAAACAAAAATCATTAGATCATGATTAAACTTATTTATTAATGTGACTATTAATTTTTCTGTCTTATCAACTTGAATTTCATCTCTCTTATTAATTTGATCTAATGGTTGTTGTTTGTTACTCTCATCTCTCATTTAAAATCACTCTCATTTGATATGCTCTCTCTCTCTCTCTCTCTCTCTCTCTCTCTCTCTCTCTCTATATATATATATATATATATATATATATATATATATATATATATATATATATATATATATATATATATATATATATATATATATATATATATATATATATATATATATATATATATATATATATATAATTTGGATTTTTGGCCAATTTAAAATAGTTGTCTCAGAGATTTTGTCGAGTATTGAAGGAGTTAGAGGAAGACTTAAGTATTATTGATCGTCATATATGTTGTGACTGGATGTAGAATAAAATTTGATCTTACATGATCAGAAAGGAATCAGCAGTCTGTCACGCGTCGTGAGCTCCTGTGTTCATCGGTGTTGTAGAGGAGGAGGGGGTGTACCTGCAAGGTACTCTGATGCTTAAGTGAGTAAGTGAGTTAGAAAGCGCAAGTACAGAGAGAATAAGTGTAGAGAATGAAATATTTGACCCTCTAATGAAAGAGGGTATTTATAATGTGCCCCCAGCGCAGGGCCAACAATTACTTTGCATTGGGTCGAATTGCAAGGCCCAATACGAGTAACTGCCAGGGCTTACGTGGTGTAGAAAATACCAGCATGTGGTCTTCGCCTTGGATCAACTACCCCGTGATCTTCGGAAGGTGGGCTGACAAACTCTTTCGGAAGTGGGTAGTTGCTTGATGACATGTCCCTGCGTGGGAGACACGTTGAGAACGTTGAGAAAACACGTGAGCTCTCCCCATGCTAGGTAGTGGTCTGCCCGACTGAAGGGACCTTGTTGAGTTGTGTGTCCGACATGGGAGGATTAGGCTTTGTCGGGCTTCCCCAACGTAGTATTGGGTTGGCTTGTCCGACAGAGAGGCAGGTCTTGCCCTAGTCTAGAACAGGAGCCCCCTAAGTCATTGCTCATAAGTGGAGGAGTAATGACTTAAAAGTAAGTTAGGCTGTCAGATACCAGTTCAGAAGATGGTGGCTTGCCCGACATACAGAGTTGAGGATGTGCGCGCGACCAGGAGTGACAGATGCTCGACGAGGCAGTATGTCAGGGAGGTGGAAAAGCAAATGGACGTGCTTGGTTTCCGGGAAAGAGGGGAAGCTGGGGGGACGCTCGTGGTGTCCCCTAGTGCCACGTGTCGCGTGTAATTATTGCTTAGGGGCGGCTACGCGTAAGGGCGTTTGAGTGTCTAATGCTACCTCGCTTCTCGTGCCAGGCTTATAAATAGAAGGAAACCTTCCTCATTTGCACATTTGCTCTTCATATCCAACAAAATCCTCTCCAAGTTTTTCTTGTCGTCGCGCCGTTTCTGTTGCCGTCACCGATCTCCGTCGTCCAGATCCTCCTCCCACAAGTAAGTTTCGCTTCCTTTCTGTAGTGTTATGAATTTTCCAGCGATTCTCATGAACTTTCTAGGAAAGCTATGAAGTTTTCGGTTGAAGCATGAAGTTTTTGGTTGAAGCATGAAGTTTTCGGCGAGGACGCCGGGAAGTTCATGAGAATTTTGGGAACTTCATGAAGTTGTCGATGAATGCCTCGGGGACCTGCGATAAAGGCCCCGGGCAGCTAAGATGAATGCCCCGAGGAGCTTTTGCTCCTCGCCAATGTGCGACTATCATAGGGAAGTTTTACTCATGGTCTCCCCGCGTGTGTCGGGGTCATCTCGATTGGGGAGCCTCGCTGTCGGGGGTGAATTTCCACGTAGAATCGTCAGCGAGGTTTCTTCTTGGAAGAGCCTCTGTCGAGGAGGACCCCTGGTTTCGGGCTTCCCCGTCCCTTCCTTCGCCCTTTCACTTGATTTACGGTGGAAGGTTGATTTGATCTTGGAGTCGAATTTACTGTTTTCCTCTGCTTTTCAGGTAAAATGGATATACGGATTGAGGGCATCATCCATATTGACGACGGGTCTGAGCCCGACAATCAGGAACCTCTCACTATAACGCCGCGCTTCGCCTTCGATGATACCGATGCTTTTTCCACTGTCGAGGACCGTCTAGAAGGTTCCTCTACGAGCTGGATGGTCTATGAACCCAAGGAAAGACACTGCATCTGCTCGAGTTTCAGGGAGATGAGGTTCTCTATGTACGAGTTTGCATTTCGTGAAGCGGGGATCCGTCTCCCCTTTAGCGATTTTCAGGGGGGAGTGTTTCGGTGGCTCTGCCTGGCCTCCTTGCAACTGCACCCAAATGCCATATCGTTCGTGCGGGCATTTGAGATTGTCTACAAATATATTCGTATTAGGGTCACACTTCCCCTGTTCTTCCGCACCTTCCACCTTCAGCTTCAATCCTCCGAAGGCAGACACAGTTGGGTATCCTTGAAGCAGCCGAGGAAGCTATTTCGGACATACCAAGATTTTGTCCGCTCCTTCAAAAACAGGTTTTATATCGTGAAGTCTGTGTCGCACGCGGCTGTCGACTCGTTGTACGACCTTACGGTTACGGAAGAGAATGGGGACCCCGAGGAGACCTTAATGTCAAAATTTCCGCTCGAGTGGGTTGAGGACCACTTCCACCTGGGCACAGACAGCTATATTATGAAGCATGTCGACCTGGATGCTGACGACTGACTGTCTTACCAAAAAATGGTTGAGTTTGTGTCCGGCTTCACCCCTGCCAAGTGTGTCCAGAAGGACGGGAATTTCATCTTTGACGAGCGCGGGGAGATTTGTCACAAAGCTCGACCAATTAATACCAAGGCTCTCCTCGAGTGCGGGTCTCACGAGGAGGCTTTGAGGTTTTTAGGTAACAAATATTTTCTTTGGCGAGGTGTCTGCCCTTTTTCTCTTGTTACTGAATTGGTTTCCCTTATTTATCATTGCAGGCCAGATGTCAAACACGCAAGAACGCATATTGAAGCTCGCGGAGACAAAGGATGGGAAGAAAAGCAAGAGCAGAGTTTCCCAAGTCTAGCAGATGACGAGGCCCAACCAGGGAGTCAGTGGTTCTTCCTCTCTTCAATGCAGCCAGTCCCCTCCCCTTCAGGACACATTCTCCAAGAGGTGGAGGGTCGAGGAACCAGTGCTTGTCGATCTCGAGGAAAGTGTGCCCGTGGAGAAGTTCGTGCTGCCTCCTTGCCATACCCAGCGGGACTTCTTCTCCGAGGGCCACTCCCCGTCAGTGGTGGAGGCTGAAGCTAAGGCGATCATGAGAATTGATCGGGTGGCCCGAAGGAAAGATCTGGCCGAGGATATGGCCGCCATGATGAAGATCTTTGAAATGGACTTGGTCCTCAACGATGAGACTAACCCGATCTCTGAGCTGAAGAAGCTGCGAGAAGAGAATGTCGTCCTTGAAGCTGAGAAGAACAAGGCAAAGATCGACTTGCAGAAGGCTCATATGAGGTATGAAGCCCATGAGCGCCTCCTTCATGAGATGAACGAGATGAGAGATGAGTTGAAGAAGGCCAAAGAGGAGCGGGGTCGACTGCAGACCAAGGTGGACGACCTAGAGGCCAAAGCTAGGCCGACTGAGGATGAATATGCTAAAGAGACGCTCATGGCGTCTTGGACTGACCTGGTGTCGAAGATCCGAGAGCTCAAGAA